AGAAACGCAAGCCCCTGCCGGAAAAGAGCCATCGCCGCCATCGACCACCCCTTAGCCACCATTGACAAAACAATTCCCAATTCCTCCCGAAGCCAACCAAACCCCTTCCTCCTCACCCATCGTTGATAGGGCAAGATAGCCATGCCGCCTCGCAGTCCAAAGCAAAACTAATTGGTAAGCTAAGATACATCACTCTTTTTCCTCAACCCCCACCGCTTCCACCATCAGATCGAAATCTTCCATGGCCAAAAACTCGGTCACCGCCATCATCATCCCTCTGTGTATGTTCCCCTTCTCGCCGCCAAGACTCGATGAATCTGCAGGAAAACTGCCTAAAGCAAACGAAACCCCAAAATCCAAGCAAAACCAAAATCCTCCTCGCACAAAAAACCTGCTATCAAGGAGAGGTTTGAGTGGCCTCATCGCCGTCGGTGAAAGGAGAGAGTGGAGAGGAAATTCATTTCAAAATTGAAATTCATAGGTTTGAGAGTGAATTTGAAATACACGGGTTTAAACCTTTGAAAATACTCTGTTGAAATGCATGTATTTTCTTTAAATTCAATTACATTTTATTTAGGTAAAAACAAACAATGATATTAAATTTCAACCTCCCAAATTCAAATACATTATTTCAAATTCACGTTACCAAACAGACCAATCAAAATTTTATATTTCCCTCCCTGAACCAAGAATACTACAGCTCATGGCTTCTTCAAAAAGTACTTTCGGCCTTTCGGGTGCAATGTAAACCAAACGGGCCCTAAGAAGATTTAGTAATGGCTTCCAAATTACTTCACTTTTTCACAGGCATCACATGGCAAAAGAAAATGCTGCAAATGTCTAAGCCCATCTTCCAGCCCCAAGTATCTCCAATTCACCGTACTCAGCATGTCCACGCTCATTTTCTCCACCCCACTTCGTCCCCTTCCAAACCCCAACTTCAAATCCACAACTATCCCACTTCCAACACCCCTAGAACAACACCCCGGCGACGGCAGCTCCTCCGAGAACCACCCTTCCCTCGGCGCACCCAACAGATCCATCATTGTAAAAACCGCTTCCCACCCTCTCAACACCGCATTCCATGAAATCCTTACATCCTCCTCACCTTTACCGGCGGTTGAGGAACCCTCGTTCAATATCGATATCAAACTTGAACAGTTGGTGATTCGAATCCACTAGAACTTCGTTAGCAGGTTTTGCAACAGTAGCTATCGGGGCAGTAAAGGTTTTGGAGCACAAAGTGATAGTGAAAATGAGGTTTTTCAAGTGAAATACGGGGTTTAGAGGGAGGTTGGTGCGGCGTTTGGCGGCGATGTAGCCAATGGAGTATAGACGGCGGGATGAGATGGACCGGTTGGTGATCTTGTGGGTGGAAATGGAAGGGAAATGGGCGGTGCAGAGGGGTTGCCAGAGAAGGTCTAGGGTATTGGACACAAAGGAGGCAATGGCTAAGGTTTTGGGGTCGAGGTGGTGGGCGACGAGGACCAGAGCGTCCCATGACGGTGGACTTCCCTGGTTGTTCGGAGACATGGATGAATCTGAGTAGTTTAGCGGCAATTGTCTCGTGAACAAATGGATTTGAGGATCCGTTCTGTTATGGGCACGTGGGTTTCGATGACACGTGTAATGCGGTGGCAAGTTGGATTGGAGTTGAAAAGACACGTGTAAAATATCTAAGGGCACTAGTGTACAGTACTGTGTATGACTCTTGTCCAGGATATTCTATGGGCCTGCCTTTAGTGGGCCTTCTAACTGGGTGAGCATGGATAGGAATGGATTAAGTATTTTTCCATATTTGTATTTGACTTGAATAGTGACAAATATAAAATTTTAATATCTAGTATTTACTTGAATATTAAAAATTTATACCTATTATTCAAATTGTTGGGTATAGATATACTTGTATACTCATTAAATTTTATATTGAAACACATAAATTAATAAACAATTACAAATTTATACATATAATATAAGTTTATATATAAAATAAAATATGTGAGTATATACACTTATACATATATAAGTTTATATATATAATAACAAAATAAATACAAACAAAAATTCATATGATTTTCTTTTAGTTGAATCTTCACTATTAGAAGAAAAGAAAAAAAAAAATAAACGTTTTAATTTCGTAACATTATATTACAAATTAAATATATAAAACTATAATATAATTAGGTATATGGATTGGGTATATAAGTCAAGTATACAAGTCAAGTATAGAGATTAGGTATATGGATCAGACATACAAATCAAGTATATAGGTCGGGTATAACCTTCATGCCCAATACTTACCCAATACTTGATAGATATGCATGTTTTATACCCAGTATTTAACTGTCTTTTCACAAATACAAGTAAAATATCAATCCAAATAAGTCAAGTACCTACAGATATTAGATATATCTGTACTCGATGCTCAGCCCTACTTGTAACCCATTCAAAGTTTCAAACTATTGGCCCATGGACAAACTCCTCTGCAAGTTTGAGAGTTTTGCTAACTAAAGGAGAAATGGTGCAAATAAGAATGTGAATTTTGCATTTTTTTCTATTTAAGAATATTAATTTTGTTAGTTTTTAAATAAAGATATCAACTTTTATTTTTTTATTTAAGGATGTTAACTTTTATTTTTTTTCAATTTAATAATGCTAACTTTCAACATTTTAGTCAAAAAATCCATTTATTATGTTAGTATTATCATCCAATTAATTCTTAAATTAAAAAATTTGAAAGTTAATATCTTTAAATAAAAAAAAAATAAAAATTACTCTCCTTATTTAGAAATTAATAAAGTTAACATCCTTAAATAAAAAAAGTATAAAATTCACATCTTTATTTACCCTTTTTCTCCTAACTAAAGTGAGGATAATTTCACGGTGCTAGTATGTAAATATAACCATTGGCTTTTTATTTTTTAATATCTTAAAAATATATAAAATATATTTTATATTTATTATAATTAATATTATATATATTTAAAATAATAAAAAATATAAAAATTAGAAGCTAAAAGATCAAGAGTATTCTCAAACCAAATTTAAAGGTATTTAAATTAACTATTTTGATATAATTGATATTAATAGTTAATATTTAATAATTAGTAATAATTATTATTTTTAATTTCAAATATTTAAATTATTTAATTAAAGTTAACAACTAATAGTTATTTTTTAATTTTTAAAATAAATGCCCCCTAAACCATTAAATATAAGATATTAAAAAGAGAGACTCACCCCATCATCAGAGATTCTCCTAATTTAATGACTAATATTACCTAAGTTCTTGAGTTTAAAACATTAATTTAGTTTAACGGTGTTGAGCTGTAACTACATATAGCTTTATCAGTCTTTTAACATCTCAAAATATGTAAAATATATTTAATATTTATTTTAATTAACCTATTATATATTTTTAAACTAATAAAAAGATATTAAAAATTAAAACACTGAGAAGGATTCCCAAACTAAATTATAATTTAATTGTTAAAAAACTCATCAATTTCCCCCAAACCAAACATTTATTAAGGTATATGATTTCAATTTCATAGATGCAGGTCCTATTCTCATTTTTACAAATCATAATTCTAACAAAATCTTGTTACGCTCATAAGTCAAACATAGAGTTTGGTAAGTTTGATTATCAGATCTTCTTCTTCCATAATATTGTAATTCACCCCTAAAATAAAATTCATGCTAGCAAATTAACCGATCAATCATTTTGACTTGAAGAACTTAATTATAATTGGATCACTAATCTACCCGACAAAAGAAGAATTTTTTTGGCAAAAAATAGGAAGCAAAACTGTTTATTTCTTAACAAGTAATGATATAAAAATAATTTTTTAAATAATTTTATATATTATTAAATAAATATATATACTTTTATATTAATATTAATTAAAATAATAAATCGTTTAAATAACATATAATATTATACAAAAATATTATTTTTAAATCATTTTTCATTTTTTTTACCCACCACATTTATATGAGTAAGATTTCAACCTATAACCTTTCATTTTTACTGATAAAAACAATTACCAACCACTTTGGTCTTAATTATATCTTAAGAATTTGTACGTATATATTTTTGGGTTATGCCATTTAGGCTTTTAGGGTTCTAGACTTTGAAGAGTCTATGTCCTTATTATTAAGTTCTTTAATGACTTTATGATTTTAAGATTTTAGTTTAAAATTTAATCTCAATGGGGACTCAAAAACGATAGGTTTTTCGGAAAGAGGAGGAAACCGAAAAAAAAAAAAAGAGGCAGAGTACTTTTTCTGTACTCAACTTTTGGCCGCTGTTTGGATTGGCGGATTTAGAAGGGGAGTGGGGGAGAGGGAGGGGTAGATGTCTCCCTCACTCTGTTTGTTTTTCTTCATTAGTAGAGAGGGAGGGAGACGGAATGTAATAAAACCCTCTTCACTCTTCTGATAAATCTTTCTAAATTGGGAGAATTGGAAAAGATTTGATTTACATATTTAATATTTTTTTAATATTTTTTAAAAATAAATATATAAAAATATTTTATTTCAATTATTATTTTAATTAGTAAATGTTAAATATTTTATTTTATTTTATTTTTTAAATTATTTAATTAAATAAAAATATTTTCCTTTCCCCTCTTCTGTTTTCATCTATCCAAATAAGGTTAATGGCGACTCTTTTCTGCCCTTCCCTTTCCTTTACTAATTTTTTTCCAAACAAATTGTTAAGGGAAAAAAAATTGTTAGTTGAGCACTAATCATATGAAATGAAAATTACACCCCTTAATCTTCATGGAAAGCATATGAAGCAGGCATATGAAGCAGAACCGTCTTATATGTATTTTCAGTCTCTAATTATTTTAATGTTAACTTTGCCAAACATTAAAAGTATTTGCTTTAAAAATAATTATTTATCTCTTATAAATTTCAAAATTTTATTAGAAAGAAATTTTAAAATTGTCTTTTAAAGTGAATTTTAAGTAAATTTTAAAAAATTTTGTTTGAAACTCGTTTAAAAAACTATTCCCTCCATTTATTTTAATAGACTTAATTTAACTTTTTGAATTTTAATTAATACATAAATTTTGAATGAAAATTTAACGATCAATATGAATAACAATTAAAATTTTTTTATCCCTATATATAGTTCTTATTAAATATTTTTATCTGATCAAAAAAAAATTTTCAGTTGTTGTTTATATATATATAATTTAAATTTTCATCTAAAATATATGATTTAAGTTAAACAGTTAAATTAAATTTATTAAAAATGAATAGATGGAATAATTTTAAGTGTTCCCTTTTAATAAAATTTTAGATTTATAAGTAAAAATAATGCATCTAAAGTAAGTATATTTTAAGTTTTACTAATTAAACTTCTTCTAAAATACTCTTATGAAACCAGACATTTTTAAGTATCTCTTAGTTTGAAATGATAGGATCTATATTAAACTATTAATTATCACAAAATTACATTTTACAAACATTTTTTTCAATGGTAAAAAATCTATTTATATGGAGTACAAAGGGTATTTCAAACCTAAATACATTCTTGGTTTGTTCCTTCCCTTATAATCTATGGAGCCAGATAATTGTCACTCCAATACAAGTACACCTAGGCTACCCACCCAGCACTTTCATTTCCTTACCCCTTTTTGATCTCCTTCGCGCATTCCCTAGCTAGGAGAAGAGGTCCAGTCCTTGAATGAAAAATCCACCTACCCTGCTCTTCCTGTTAGCCATAGAAAAAATCACGTTTGAACTAATTTGAATAGTTTCTCCTCATCAGCATCAATTGCCTCAAATAACAGTTCGTTTCTATACAACCATAAAGTCCATACAACAACAAACTATACACCCACCATTGCCTGTCCTTCTCATATTTGTCCAAAAGTATTATTGAAAAGCTTGCTCTAAATTACCATGCATGACGTAGGAAAAACCCCACCACCTTAAGTATTTTGACCATAGTTTTCACGCAATCAGGCAATTTAATAGCAAAATTTTTTTTTTGATCAGCAAATAAAATTTATTGTATTAATGGAGTACCGGGGGTACTCCAAACCAATTACATTGCAAATACATAAAGGCTTTCACAATTAAAGATCCCATACATATGCCGGGCAAAATGGATTGTAATCAGCCACCGGCTTGACAACCATTTACTTGCCTTTTAGGAGGTAGGTATCCATCTTTACTTCTACTAGCGTGTAACCTCTTTCCATGGTCCATTACATGGTGATCAGTCTCAAACTCATTGCTGCAATCTCTGGTGTCCTTCTTTTGGTTCGGAGCGCCATTTGTCTTGCATAAGATCTGGGCATAATGTTGTTTTGCACCAGTAAAACGATCTGAACTTTATTAGCTCAAGAACCCGCTCCCAACTGTCGGCTTCATCTTTGAATATTTTCTGATTACGCCACAGCCAAATGGACCAAATAGTTGCAAACCAGATTACTATCCACATTTCTTTCATGAGTCCTCTGGATACCAAGCCAGTGTGCTGCTCAATATGTAGCCATCCTTTACCTTGGCCAACTGTTTTGAGGTTCCACCAGTCATAGCATGAGACCCATATGCTCCATGAAACCTCACATTTGAAAAAAAGATGTTCCACGCTCTTTACTTCTACTCCACACAGCACACATTTGTCATCATCTCGGCCTTTCAGTCCTCGCCTAGTCAAGTTGTCCTTTGTTGGGATTCTGTTTTGCAATAATTTCCATGCGAATGCACTCACTTTGAGAGGAACATTTTTATTCCATACCAAATCATACCTTTGGCCAGAAGTAGAACCTATAGTTTGTTGTTGACATAAATGTTTGTATGTTGTCTTCACTGTGTACTTGCCTTCCTGGTTATATTTCCAAGTCCATGCATCCTGCTGTCCTTGTTTTAGTGAGATTGATTGTAGTTCCTTGATTAATTCCTGCAAAAGTTCATTTTCCCAAGCAAAAAGATTTCGTCTCCACTTCCATGTCCATTCCCACACCCCTTGATTCCAATTACCCATTTTTGCAATGACAGCTTCCTTATCTAAAGAGATCCCAAATAATCTATTGTATTTCTCCTTAAGTGGCATCTCCCCAACCCAGATGTTATGCAAGAACAAAGTATCACTTCTGTCCCCTACTGATTTTAACATTCCTTCTTTCACTCAGTTTCTCCTAGACTCAATGTTCCTATCTAGATTCCACAAATCTCTCCACCATGGTGAGCACCTACCTCCCCATTCTTGCCCCTCCCACTCATTTTTTAGAGTAAGTTTGTATTTTGCCTCCATCACCTTCCTCCATAAAGTTCCTCTCTCCTGTAGCAGTCTCCATCTCCATTTTCCTAATAAGGCTAAATTAAACAACCCAACATCTTTGACCCCTATTCCACCTTCTCTTCTACTTCTACAGACTCTATCCCAACTAACCCAAGAGATCCTCTTATTTTCCTCATTCCCTCCCCAAAGAAATCTGCGTTGGATTAAAGAAATAAGGTTGAGTACCTGTTTGGGAGCCTTAATTGAAGAGAAGTAATACACATGGATGCATGAAAGGACCGAGTTCAGTAGAGTGGTGCGTCCACCAAAAGACAGTGAATTACATCTCCACAGGGATAGCTTTTTCCGTAAACAATCAATGACTGGTTTCCAAGTAGATATTTTCCTTGGGTTTGCCCCTACCAACACACCTAAGTATTTAAAAGGAGCTAAGCCTGCTAAACAATTCAAGCTGTCAGCTAAAGCCAATAATTCCCCCTTTCCTACATTAAATCCATACAAAGCACTTTTATGGAAATTCACTTTCAGGCCAGATAGCAATTCGAAGCTCCTTAAGATGCATTTAATCATCCATACATTTTTAGCTGAAGCCTCACAAAACAAGATGGAGTCATTTGCAAATTGGAGATGAGTTATATTCAATTTCATCTCCCCTATTGCAACCCCTTCGAAGAATCTCTCCTCTGCAACTTTAGTAATTAGCCCATTGAGGGCTTCTGCAACCATTAAAAATAAAAAAGGAGCAAGAGGATCGCCCTGCCTCAATCCTTTTGATACTGTAAATTCCTTAGTGGGGCTGCCATTTATCAATAAAGACACTGAGGTTGAGGACAGGCATTCTTTTATCCAGGCATGCCATTTTGTTGAGAAGCCTAATTTCTCCATCATCTTATCTAAAAACTCCCAGTTTACACTGTCATATGCCTTCTCAAAATCTGCTTTAAACACCAACGTCGGTTTCTTTGATTGCTTTGCTTCATGAATAATCTCGTTGGTGATGACTATTCCATCTATAATTTGTCTTTCTCCTATAAAAGCTGTTTGGTTAGGGCTAATCACCGAATCCATCACCCTTCTCAGCCTATTAGCGATAATTTTAGAGACTATTTTGTACATGCTACCAATGAGGGAGATAGTCCTGTAGTCCCCAAAACTCTGAGGATTTTCCTTTTTACGAATCAGGACAATGAACGAAGCGTTGCTCCCTTTGACTAGCTTTCCATTTTCATGAAATTCTGCTAAAAAAGCATACACATCTTCCTTAATAACTGGCCAGACCTTTTTGATAAAATTGAAATTAAAGCCATTTGGACCCGGGCTTTTGGCTCCATTGCATCCCCACATTGCTTCATCAATCTCCTCTGTAGAGAATTTGGAGATTAAAAAATTGTTTTCAGCTTCACTAATCTTCTTGAATTGCAAATCTCCCAATGAAGGTCTGTCCCACTTTTCTTCTTCAAATTTATCTTTGAAGTAGTTTCTTGCCAATTCCTTCACCTCATCAGCATCTTCGATCCATTCACCATTGTTATAAAGGCCTATGATTTCATTTTGCTTCCTTCTATTAACAATGCAACCATGGAAGAACTTTGTGTTTGCATCACCTTCTTTTAACCATCTTTGCCTAGATTTCTAGAATAGTATTCTGTCTTTCGCCTTGCTCCACTCCATGAACTTGTGAAAGTTCTCCTTTCTTTTATCAATCTCCATGCTTGTAAGACCTTCGTTCTCCTCTTTTTCATCTAACTGCTTTATTTCCTCTCTAGCTGCATCCATGTTTCTATCAACGACTCCAAAGACTTCTTTATTCCAGGCTTTCAGCTCCTTTTTTAGCATCTTCAATTTTTCTTTTAGTTTGTAGCAAGCCCACCCATCTATCTCAAAACTACTCCACTTGTCACGAACAAAAGCATCGAAACCTTCATGATTCATCCAGCAGTCCAGGCTTCTAAAAGGCTTTGGGCCCCAATCTGCATTCAGGCTTTTCACTAGAACTGGGCAGTGATCTGACAAGTCTCTGCTCAGACCTCGCTGGATCAAGTTTGGGAAGTTGATTAGGAATTCTGTGGAGAATAAAAATCTGTCAAGTTTACTCATTGCTATTCCATCTGATTTGTACCATGTGAATTTCCTCCCTACCATAGGTATTTCCTCCAAGCCTGCATCCAAGATAAAGTCATTGAAACCTCTGATATCTACAGCATCAGTATATCTCCCTCTTCTTTCTTCCTTATCTCGCACTGCATTAAAATCCCCTCCAATACACCAATTACCTCCTCCATTAACCTTTATTAAGTCGGTGAGTTCGCCCCATAAGATTCTTTTGTCATTCTTATCACAGGAAGAGTAAACATTTATAAGAAAGCAAGGCACGTTATCCTTTCCCCAGAAACCAAACATTCCAACAAAACCACTACCTTCAATTCTTTTCACCATGTTGAATGAATCTGGATTCCACACACATGCAATTCCTCCAGATTTTCCTTTTGCTTCTTTTGCGACCCATGCACATAACTCAGCTCCCCAAATGGATTTTGCTATTTTATCATCAAACCTTTCAAGCTTAGTCTCCGGAATAAAGATCACATCCGCTCTCTCCTTTCTTGCTAACTTCCTCAAACCCCTTTTTTTGTTACTTCCCCCTAGTCCCCTAATGTTCATGGAGATGATCTTCATTTGGGATTTGTTGCTGCTCCCTCCCCTGCTACTACTGTCTTCTTCTTCTGTTTTACCAAGGCAATTCTATCTCTTCTTTCCATTTCACCCACTCTCCTAATGAGATCATCCACATTGCCTTTATAGATCAGCCCTAACCGCAGCCCGATTTCCCAAAATTTTGATGCTTCTTGTTTCCAGTTCCTTTTGCCTTCATTTCTACAAGTTGAGTAGCTGTATTCCCCTTCCAATCCGGTCGTTTGGCGGATGCTCTTCAGATTAGTGTTACTAGTACTAGCTGTGATCTTGCATTTCCTCCTCCTCTTCGATTGCTTGATCCGCTTTCCTTTTCTGGCTTTATCCTGAGCTAGACGATCTGCCTTTGCTTGGAGAATCTCATCGTCGCTTGCTAGGCCCTCTCAGAATGGTTGGGTACTTTTCTCCTCCTCCATGTCTGTATTTACAATAGTTGTATTTCCACCTTCCCTTCCTGCGTCTTCCAAAACCCCTGCCTGTTTTGTGTCTTGCTTTCCTTCCCTGGTATGGGTTGTAGTCCTTTTTAGAATTTTAATTCCTTGTTGTAAGCCCAAGCCCTCCTAGCTAGTTTCATGGGTCAAGTTTTCTTGGCCCAATTGTTGAATTCCTTTCTTTGTTTTGGCCTCGTGGCCCACCACGGCACTGTCACTATGCAGATTCAAAGGGGAGGTGTTGTGGTTCATAGAGACCAATTCGTTGGCATTTTGTTGGTGAGCATTTCTGCCTACTTCTTTGCACTTGATTAGGTTGTTAGGTTCAAATACCTCATTTCTGCCTTTGGAGTTGCTTTTCTCATTTTCCAATGATTCCGATTCAATATCCTCCTCGAAAGTACCCTCATTGTTTACCATCACTTTCAAATTTGAATTGTAATCTTTTGCATTAAATGCAGATCTTCCTGTCAGCGTGGTTTCAGACACCCTTTCAACTTCGACCTCCGGCACCAACAACGTCCCCCGTTTCTTCCTCCCTGAATCATCTACTTCCATGATGTCTTTCTCGTCATCATCTTGTATAGCTTGCCATTCATCCCAGTCATTTCCGTTTCCAGTTTCATCCCATTTTGATTCTTCTGACCATTCTTCATCCTCCGAATCTTCATTCCTGCACAACACAAAGTCAGAACGGAGGGAGAATAGATTATCAACCCCTGTCTCCTCAGAAATTCTGATCTGGAATATAACCTCCCTGGCTTTAACCTTTATCACCCTTTGAATATTGGCTTGGGAAGGTGTCAAAACTAAAATTTTGGCCACATCCAAACGAGATCTTTTTATAGTGCTATTGTCCAAGGAGATAAATTTCCCAAAGAGGTTTGCCACCGTTTCAAAGAAGCTGCTCTTCCATATATGTAGTGGCACACCTTGGCATCTCAACCAAGTAAATCTCTCTGTTGCAACTAATTCAGGAGTCCAAGGTTTGATGTTTGTGAACCACTGTGCAAGCCAGTCTCTCCCCGATTCCACAAGATTCTTTAGTTCATCACTGTCCTCACAAGAGATTAACACCATATTGCTACCCATTGGTGTTAGTTTTGCTGAGAAATAACCTTCCATTAAGAACTTTTCCTGAAGATATTGCAGATGATTTCAGGGCTCTTGGCGAACCCCACAAAGCTTTGTCTTAGCCATTCTAAATCTTCATCCTCAACCTTTACCTCAAGCCCATACCAGTTGTTTTTCTCAGTCTTGTCTGAAGTCCCCTGCCTTTTCCTCTGCCACTCCTTCCTATGAGCATGTCCGTGATTCTCACTTACTCCCCTTTGCAAAGCCTCTGCATATGACAGATCGCCTTTTTCCTTCAGTGGCACCTTCCTTCTACTCTTCTGTTCCAGCGGTTTGTCCCCTTGAGCGAACCTAGCCAAATTTGCATGGAGGAATTGATCACCAAATCTGATTTGGTTAAGCTTGGTCTGCATGGATTTCGGGTCAACCACATCAAGGAACTTAGCAAAGCCAAATCGTTGTCCCCATCTGCCTCTCTTTTTTGCAATGAAAATTTGGATTGCCCGTCCGCATTTCATGAAAGCTGGCCACATATCTCCCATCTCCAGATCTTCTGGAAAGTTTGTGATGAAAAAGGAGGTTGCTTGCTCCAGAACCCCTTTACCATATCCATATGTTGGTCTTTGGTTCCTCTCACACTCCTGTCCTGCCGTCCTTTCTGATCCCCGTGCATTACTTCTTTGAAGGCTATGGTAGCTGTTTTGGTTTGGACACTCCCTCACTGGAAAACTCTCACGGTTATGGTTGTAGTGTTTGAGGTTTCTCTCTCTCTCATCTTCTCTCTCTCTCATCTTCTCTCCTATTACTTGCAATTTAATAGCAAATGATCGACACTTTCATTGCAGGAGCCACACAAATTACAAATAACTTGGGGTTCCTCCACATTTCACAGACTTAGCGCAAGATGATTCTGATTTGCGTCATTAGAATTCGATATCCTCCAATGCTTAAGAAACGTAATTTTGTAATTGAAATAATTGATTTATGAAAGAATTTTACGTTAACAAATTTGTTACATGATGACTAATAGCTCAACTCAACTTTTTATGGTTCTAGAAAAGAAAAAATCAAACATCTCTATATTAAAAATGTTAGTATATTTATTTACAACTATTAAATGTGTAAGATGTAATATAAGTTTTAATTTTATTAAATTTATCATATAACTATTATTAAATATTCTACCATTTTTAAAACTAAAACATCTTGATTTTTCCTTTTTCTTGTAGTAATCAAGAATATAATTACAACTCCAAAATGACAAAAAGCAGCCCCTGAGAAAACACATAAAATACAAAAACAGTGAAAAAAAGAAAACACGGGTTTGAACTTCTAGCTACAAGAACCAATGGGAAAAAGATGCACTAGGAGTCCAGAAGGCAACGACCCGGAAGGATGAATCCAATACTGAGGGCCAGTGAGCTACGACCCATGAGAACAAAAGTAAGAAAGGCACCACTAACTACTAAATAAGGATGCAAAATAAAAAAACCATTATTATATATCCATACCCTCTTTATTTCATTACAGAGAAATGGAAGACTAACCCTTGGCTATCGTGAAGGCCAAAAGAAAAAAGTTCCATGGCGATCCTTTTCATGGAAATGTTGAAGACGCGGAAGTAGGAAATTAAAGGTTTAAAAAAAAATAAAATAATACTTAAATTACCGCGTTTGATGTTGAAAAGTGAAAGTGGATGCAACCAACCAATGGGTAAACGACCGCCCAATTATGGGGTAATTTATGGGGTAATTTATGTCCACGTTGACGGTGATCAAGAATTAGTTTGTAAGAGAAGAAATCACTTTCATTCACCATATGGCGATTTCTTTGTCACGTATGCAAGATTTGCTAGATTCGAATGGAAGGATTTTTATGCAGATGGTTTGCCTTATATTGTCCGGACAATACTCCTGCTCAATTGGGTTATAGAAACGGTGAATCATTAAATTAAATGTTTATTTTAATTAACATATTATATATTTTTAAAATAGTAAAAAAATTTAAAAATTTTAAAAATTAAAACATCAAGTGGGGGTGCTCTTAAATGAAATTATAATTTAATTAGTTAAAAAACTCATTAATTTCCCTCAAATCAAACATTTCTTAAGGCATATGATTTCAATTTGATAGATGCAAGTCTTAATTATTCTCATTTTTACAAATCATAATTCTAACAAAATCCATCTTCTTACGTTCATAAGTCAAATATAGAGTTTGATTATCAGATCTTTTTCTTCTATAATATTGTAATTCACCCGTAAAATAAAATTCATGCTAGCAAATTAACGATCAATCATTTTGACTTGAAGAACTTAATTATAATTGGATCACTAATCTACCCGAAAAAAGAAGAGTTTTTTTGGCAAACTTTTAGTTCTTGACGAGTTATGATGTACAGACAAATTTTTTAAATAATCATTTTATAAAATTTTTACATATTATTAAATAAATAGATATATATAATATTATATTAATATGAATTAAAATAATAAATTATTTAAATGATATGTAATATTTTATATAAATATTATTTTTAAATCATTTTTCATTTTTTAATGCACCATATTTACATCAAAAGGATTTCAACCCATGACCTTTTATTTTTATTGGAAAAAAAAATTACCGATCACTTAAGTCTTAATTTTCCTTTTAAACAAAAGGGAATTTGGGGAAGGAGGATTGATTTTTACAACAATTTAAACCAAGATTTTAATCTTAGTAAACTTGCACCCTATTCAACTCTGCTCGTGCTGCGAGTGCCACTTTAAGTCTCAATTAAATTTTAAGAATTTTTATGTATATATTTTTGGGGGTTTTGCCATCTAGGCTTTTAGGGCTTTAGACTTTGAAAAGTCTATGTCCTTATTCTTAAGTTTTTTAATTACTTTATGATTTTAAGATTTTAGTTTAAAGTTTAATTTCAATGGGACTTAAAAACGATAGGTTTTTTTTCTTTTCTTTTTAAGAGCAAGAAAAATGTTAAAAAAAGCACGGTACTTTTCTGTACTCAACTTTTAAAGGCAAAAATATTGATAGTTGAGGACTAATTATATGAAATGACAATTATACACCTTAATCTTCATAGAAAGCATATCAAGCAAAACCGTATTATATTTATTTTCAGTCTAATTATTTTAATGGTAACACTGAGAGTGTGTATGATAGAGTTTTAAAAGTATTTACTTTAAAAATATTATTTATCTCTTATAAATTTAAAAATTTTATTAAAAAA